CTGCTTATATACTCACACCTTAACTAACATATAAAGAACATCTGTTGGTATTAATTTGCGGAATCACTGTAATAATTAACTGTCCTCCAAAAATCAAGTACATTTTTATTTCATTTACAAATTTTACATTCTTGCAATTCTGTAACAGACCAAATGTAATTTTGTCCATAGGTTTCTAGCACATCTAATAGAGCTCATTAGTTTATAATGAATTCTCGACAACATAAATTATGTTTGCAATAAATGACTGTTACATTCTGATATTGAGAATTGTGCAAGACCTTAAAAGTATTCATATTTTCGGTAATCAAAAAAAAAAAATCCTAATTTCTTACAATTCGCCTATAAAATCGCCAACCTGTCTATAAACCGCCAAAAAATCGAGATCGTCATATCTGACAACCCTGCTCCTTGTCATAAAAAATCACTTGGGAATTAACATCTAAGTTTAGCTAAAACAAAATTTGTTGGTTTTGTTATTTAACCCAAAAAGAAAATAATTTGACGCTTTGATTGGATTACTTTGTAAGTTCTGTTGAATCAAAAATGTTCTCCAAAGTAGGAACCAATTCACTTAAAGGATGGACAAACAAAATCATGAAAAATCTGCCTAAGATATTCAATATACACCGATCCTAAGTCTAGCAAGCATAGAAGATTACATCCATAGATTAGACAGAACACATTATTTAGAGGTCATTGATTCTTATAGAAATTAATGGGCACATTTAAGCAATTGCGCAGAAAGAAGCAGAAAATAAAGTGAAACTAGAATCTCATATGGCGCAAAAAGGGAATAAGCAATCAGAATTTACACCGTTTTCCAGACTGACGCCGTGTGACACCGATATATTTTGCAAAGGATGTAACAACCGTGTTCTAAGAAAATTAACGAAAACTCGATCATTGAGTGGCGTTGCCGACATGTTGGTGTTTAGCGCGGCTATGGCTCGTCGGATTGGTGGTTGATTCTTGCCACTTGCAGACCTTTTCGGTTGAACAAACAAAACAAAAATCATACCGGACTTTACTCAGAATCTAAAAAGGGGGTAAAAGGAAATCTGAAACATGTCAAGAGAAGAATGAAAGAAAACGTTGACGTAAACTACAATCGAATCCCAAACTTGTCTTTACTTATCACCACAGAAACAGTACTCTTGCCGGCGGACCACCAGGAGATAGCCCTCTTTCCGAGACCGCCTCTCGCCTAGTTATCCCTGTTGTCCCAGATTTGACCCTTAACTTACCACTTTTAGTCCATTTTCACCACATTTTTAATAGTGATTTAAACCGAAGAGATTGATATCCTTTTTAATAAAAATATGTACAAAAATTGTACTATGTTAAATATCGAATGACGGAAGCAATTCCTGAACAATTTTACATGTTATTTTTATTATTCGAATCAAAATCAAATCTAATAATAAATTGCAAAAACAAATTAATTTAAAATGTAATCCTTTGTCATTTTCTTCTTTTTTGGTTGCGATTGGGGACGCCAAAAATTAGAGAACAATAAAAGCAGCTTATATTTGAAGTTGAATTGAATTTGCCGTAGCCAATTGGGAAGGTACCAAGCCACGCTGCACAGTGGTCGATATATTTTTTGGACATTAATGGCTTTAAAATAATTTCCTCCTCCGACAATTACCCGATTGGAAGCAGTGTATTATCTATGATGGTGGCCCCATGTAATAGTAATTTATGCATAGATGGAGTCATATGATGCCAGTCGTATAATTCCACATACAGTTGCGCGGTGTTGAAGGCATGTTCTTTGAATTTTTTTGTATTTATTTTGTGTGCACTTGAAATCGTCTCGAATAAGATTTTAAATCTATGTATTAATTCCTGGTTAATGCCTGTTATGTCCTCTTATGAGTGCTTGGAGCGGGATCAAAGAGCAATTGTTTCATTGGTCTTGGAAAAAGATTTTCTATATTTACTAGCCTTTGTTGTTGAACTTCCAATTTCTTTGAGCAATTTTGGGGCATTTCGTTGTCCACTCGTTTGCAATACCACTTGTGCAGCATGTAAAATCATTTCACCATCAACATTCGTTCGAATTTCCTCAAAACTTAGAGAACAAAAATGCTCGGACGACCTGGTTGATTAAGCGAATGCACTGGTATTTCAAAAGTGCTTTCCAGCCACTTCTGGTTGGTTTTCATAAAAACTTCTTCAACTTAATACGCTTTTAGCCATCTCAGTTTAAATTCATGTATGATGTGCACAAATTTATGCTTGAGACTCTTCTTTCTCTCCACAGTGTCTTCGCAAGACAATAGCAACTAATTTTCTAAAGACTCCAATTTCTCATCCAAACTTGGAAAATTTTGATGTTGCATTTGCTCAAATAGACATTTACGGGTCACTGTTTTCACTATTTTTCATATAAAAAAATGGATTTTTCTTAATTTTTTTTTTACCAAAATAATTTGAGGTGCTCTATTTAATAGATCTGCGCGATTCTGTGGCTACTGTTTTTTGATAGAAATGATAAATGTGTAACGTATTCAATAAACAAAAAAATATTATCTGGATGAACCTGGAAACATAACAGAATTGCTTTTGTAATAAAAAAAGGATTTTTTCTAGAAAAAAGGGGGTATGTTTAACTAGCGGAAAATAAAAGGAAGGCTACAAATAAAAGATAAAACTTTTATTTATTTAATAGAAGCTTACCTGAGCTGTAGGAATCACTATCACTTTTACTTCACTACACAACTTAAAAAAATATACGTATCAAGTCAACGATACAAAAAAATATTAATACTAATAAGTCCTTTCTTATCTTGCCAAACATTACTAAACGATCTTAGCACGACATTATTTACCTTACTTGACGGTAAGTTCGAGTACTCCTGTTCTCCTTTTTTCAACTATATGACTATACCTTCAGCTTTGTACGGAATGTCGGATACGATAGTTTGCAAATACACTGAGGTGTATTTGTTCTTTTGTCTTCTGGCTTCCAGACCAAAGTATCGTAAGGCGGGTGAAGGACTGATCTGCGACCTACTGTACAATAGTTTCTTGGCCCGAGCCAAAGTGCGAACGGTTACTGCTTCACCGCGAAAGAAGAATTGCACTAATGGCCAAAGACAGGTGACTGCTACGGATGCTCAGACAATCACTAGAGCGGTAAAACCGGAGTGCTTCAATTTGTAATTTTACTTCGAAATTCTGATATCTGCTTTTAGAGTCTAGAAGATTGGACGCCTGTTCGGACGAAAAAAAAAAAACAGACGGGGTTCCGAACTGTACCATTATCAAATATTCTAGCCGAGACTTATAGAGGGACTACCGTCAGCGCTTCAGGATTAAAGGTAAGATGTTTTAATTCAATTTCATAGTTTGCTCTGAAAAATGAGAAACAGCTTCGTTTTTTATAAGCGTAAATATTGTATTTTATTACAAATTTTAACCAAACAACTTTGTAAGTATGGCTTGACATTTTATACCCATTTTTAAACCCTCCACCATACTATGGAGGGTATATTAACTTTGCCATTCCGTTTGTAACTCCTCGAAATACTCATGTCAGACCCAACAAAGTATATATATTCTTGATCAGCGAAAATTTCTTAGTCGATTTAGCGATGTCCGTCTGTCTGTGGTAATCACGCTATCTTTCGAATGAATTGAGATAGAAGGCTAAAATTTTGCACACCTGTTTATTTTTCCAGTAGGCAGGTAGGCAGTTAATTTCGGCCATGTTGGTCTACGTTTTCAAATAGCCCCATATAACAGTACCTCTCGATATTCGGTATTTTGATGATTTTAGAGACATTATTCACCGGAATTGAATTGTATTTGAAGTTCATAATGGATACTACAACCTAAGATAGAAAATTGTCTATGCAGGTAAACGTCTTCGTATAGCCCCCATATAATGGTACCTCCCAATATTCGGTATTTTGACGATTTTAGCGTCATTATTCACAGAAATTGTTTCAAATTACGTATTTAGAGTTCGTAATGGGAACTACAGTCTGTGGCAGAAAATTGTCTATGCAGGTCCAAGACTTCAATTAGGATTATTTCTTCTTTGACTGGAGAAATGTATCAACCTTTACCCATACACTCATAAAATAGAACTATCCTACAGCTAGTATAAACTTGGGAATAATAAAAAACACTTAGTAAATAGATATTCAGGTTAGTCCTCTTAATATTATATCTTAAATAATACTAATAAAAATGTCTCCAATTCAGGCAATACTTTCAACTTAATTCAACTGGATCTTCCGGCACTCTTGCGAATTTTGAGTGAGTATAGGACAAATTTAAAATTAAGGTAGCTTTAAGTTAAGTTAGAATTAAGAGTTTATTTTAAATATTTTCGTGTAGACGTTGTGAGTTAATATTTCATCCTGGGATCTCCGCTTTAATTTAAACCTTTATTGAATTCTACCTCTTTACTAATATATGGTTTACCATTATCAGACACAATTACTTTTAGGGTTCCAAATTTATGAAGTACTTCACTAATTAAAAACTTTACTACATTTCTGTAATTTTCTTTGGCCATGGCCCTTAGCAAGACATATTCTGAAAGGTGGACTACCAGAATGATAATGAAACAGTTTCCCGTTTTGGTTCTAGGATAAGGACCTAAAAAGTCTACATAAATTCATTGGAAAGGCTTTTCTTTAATGGTTTCGTCTCTTTGCAAATTTCCCGATTCTGTACAAAATTTCTAACTTGCGTATTCAGACTTGGCCAGAAAAAAGTACTTTTTTACCCTCCGAGGTGTCTTGTGGAGATCTCCATGAGAGACTAGTAGTGAATATTGTGCTTTTTCAATAATTTGCTGGATCATTTCGCTGGGTACCCATAACTTCAAGGCGAAACCATTTAGATCAGGAAGTTGTGAAGAATTATTTTCGATTGTGTCTATCAAGGCTAACTATTCATCTGTGTTAAAAGCTAAGGAATCAAGGTCGATTAAGGGCTTCACCAGAAAAATCTAATCCATATCATACATTTACAGAGTATCAGGTACTATGTTCTGGGTACTTTTATGGTGCTCTGCCTCAAAGGAACATGTCCGCAAATGTAGACTCCGTCAAGCTAACCTTCCGCTCAGATCTCGATGTGAAATGAAAAAAAACTACTGTGGTCAGTTATAACTGTGAAGTGCATCAACTCAATATATGGCCATTACTTTTTAATGGTCATCACCACCGCCAAACATTCCCTCTTAGTCACATAGTAATATCTCATCGTCTCATTGAAACAATATAGCTCCTATTCCTAAGTCTGAGGCATCACACTGGACCTTGAAGCGTTTGGTAAAGTCCGGGTGTGTTAGGACGGGGATACTTATAAGAGCTTCCTTCAATTTTTTCAAATGCCACCTTGGCCTCCTCTGTGAGCGTGAATCGTTTTCCTTTTTTGAGGGTTTCGAGTCGCAATGGTGACAAAGTCGACTATAAAGCTTCGATACCTCCCTGCGGTACTCATTAAACTTCTCTCCTGGTTTACTATCGTTTCCACTTTTGCCGGATCAGTCTTCAGTTTGCTACCTCCAGCAATGTATCCCAAATATCTTAGTTCTTTGAAACAGAACTTTGAGCTAATGCTACTTGAAATCACCAGCTAACACAAAACAGCAGTGAGCGACTGAAACTTAAATGAAATTAGCTTTTACATCAAAATGGCTCAGCATCAAAAAAGCAGCATGGCTGCTATGCTTAGCTCGGTTTTTTTTTGCCAAAAAAAAATATTTTTTGAGTTCTGTGCTGCTTATAACAATTCCACATCGCTTGCTTTTAACAATTCCAAATAATAATAAAAAAAACACGATAAAGGAACGCGAACGGAAGAAGATCACCCTACACGGTGGCAATCAATTAATGACACAAGTACTAAGTTCCGAATTCTGGATTTTTGGCTAAAGTCGCTAATCAAACAAGCCATATGAAAATGTCGAATCTGCTTAATTCCCAAAAAAAAAAAACAAACCCAAACTCAAATAATGGCTTCGCTACCGTCTGAACGTACTTTTCCTTCTCGACCCTTTACAAACACAGGGGTAGCTTTTGCAGGATCCTTTAACATTAAAAGTTATTCAGGAGGAGCCTGCTTTATTACAAAAGGGTATGTGTACTTGTTTGTTTGTTTCGCCCCAAGGCTATACACTTAGAACCCACAAGCGATTTGTCGACATATGCGATTCTTGCCGCTTTTTCTAGGTTTATAAGTCGGCGCGATCGTCCGTCTTGTATATTTTCGGACAACGGAACAAACTTTGTGGGAGCGGTTGATGTACTAAAACGAAATAGATTAGCTTTCATGAAAAATATTTAAAATAGAACGATTCAAAACAACTTCACTCAAAATCTGAGGTGTATTTGTTCTTTTGTCTTCTGGCTTCCAGACCCAAGTATCGTAAGGCGGGTGAAGGACTGATCTGCGACCTACTGTACAATAGTTTCTTGGCCCGAGCCAAAGTGCGAACGGTTACTGCTTCACCGCGAAAGAAGAATTGCACTAATGGCCAAAGATTGGTGATTGCTACGGATGTTCAGACAATCACTAGAGCGATAAAACCGGAGTGCTTCAATTTGTAATCTTATTTCGAAATTCTGATATCTGCTTTTAGAGTCTAGAAGATTGGACGCCAGTTCGGATGAAAAAAAAAAAACAGACGGGGTTCCGAACTGTACGATTATCAAATATTTTAGCCGAGACTTATGGAGGGACTACAGTCAGCGCTTCAGGATTAAACGTAAAATGTTTTAATTCAATTTCATAGTTTGCACTGAAAAATGAGAAACAGCTCCCTTCTTTATAAACGTAAATATTGTATTTTATTACAAATTTTAACCAAACAACTTTGTAAGTATGGCTTGAGACTGACATTTTATTTTTAGTCGATTTAGCGATGTCCGTCCGTCTGTGGTAGTCACGCTATCTTTGGAAAGAATTGAGATAGAAGGCTAAAATTTTGCACACCTGTTTATTTTTCCAGTAGGCTGGTAGGCAGTTAATTTCGGCCATGTAGGTCTACTTTTTCAAATAGCCCCATATAACAGTACCTTTCAATTTTCGGTGTTTGGATGATTTTAGAGACATTATTCACCGGAATAGTTTCAAATTTGGTATTTGAAGTTTGTAATAGATACTACAGCCTAAGACAGAAAATTGTCTATGCAAGTCCACGTCTTCGCATAGCCCCCATATAACGGTACCTCCCAATATTCGGACGATTTTAGCGTCATTATTCACAGAAATTGTTTCAAATTACGTATTTAGAGTTCGTAAAGGGAACTACAGTCTGTGACAGAAAATTGTCTAGCATGTCCAATACTTCGATTAGGATTATTTCTTCTTTGACTGGAGAAATGTATCAACCTTTACCCATACACTCATAAAAAAGAACTATCCTACAGCTAGGGAATAATAAAAAACACTTAGTAAGTAGATATTCAGGTTAGTCCTCTTAATATTATATCTTAAATAATACTAATAAAAATGTCTCCAACTCAGACAATACTTTCAACTTAATTCAACTGGATCTTCCGGCACTCTTGCGAATTTTGGGTGAGTATAGGAAAAATTTAAAATTAAGGTAGCTTTAAGTTAAGTTAGAATTAAGAGTTTATTTTAAATATTTTCGTGTAGACGTTGTGAGTTAATATTTCATCCTGGGATTTCCGCTTTAATTTAAACCTTTAAGGTATTCTACCTCTTTGCTAATATATGGTTTACCATTATCAGAAAAAATTACTTTTAGGGTTCCAAATTTATGAAGTACTTCACTAATTAAAAACTTTACTACATTTCTGTAATTTTCTTTGGCCATGGCCCTTAGCAAGACATATTCTAAAAGGTGGACTACCAGAATGAAACAGTTTCCCGTTTTGGTTCTGGGATAAGGACCTAAAAAGTCTACATAAATTCATTGGAAAGGCTTTTCTTTAATTGTTTCTGCTTCCATAGGTGGACGAAGGGTCGAATTAGTTGGTTTCGTCTCTTTGCAAATTTCCCGTTTCTGTACAAAATTTCTAACTTGCGTATTCAGACTTGGCCAGAAAAAAGTACTCTTTTACCATCCGAGGTGTCTTGTGGAGATCTTCATGAGAGACTAGTAGTGGATATTGTGCTTTTTCAATAATTTGCTGGGTCATTTCGCTGGGTACCCATAACTTCAAGGCGAAACCATTTAGATCAGGAAGTTGTGAAGAATTATTTACGATTGTGTCTATCAAAGCTAAGTATTCATCTGTGTTAAAAGCTAAGGAATCAAGGTCGAAGAAGGACTTCACCAAAAAAAAATCTACTCCATATCATACATTTACAGAGTATCAGCTACTATGTTCTGGGTACTTTTATGGTGCTCTGCCTCAAAGGAACATGCCTGCAAATGAGACACCGTCAGGCTAACTTTCCGCTCAGATCTCGATGTGACATGAAAAAAAAACTACTGTGGTCAGTTATAACTGTGAAGTGCATCAACTCAACATATGGCCAGGACTTTTTAATAGTTATCACCACTGCCAAACATTCCCTCTTAGTCACATAGTATATTCTCATCGTCTCTTTGGAACAATATAGCTCATATTCCTAAGTCTGAGGCATCACACTAAACCTTGAAGAGTTTGGTAAAGTCCGGGTGTGTTAGGATGGGGATACTTATAAGAGCTTCCTTCAATTTGTCAAATGCCACCTTGGCCTCCTCTGTGAGCGTGAATCGTTTTCCTTTTTTGGGGGTTTTCGAGTCGCAATGGTGGCAAAGTCGGCTATAGAGATTCGATGCCTCCCTGCGGTACCCATTAAACTTCTCTCCTGATATACTATCGTTTCCACTTTCGCCGGATCAGTCTTCAGTTTGCTACCTCCAGCAATGTATCCCAAATAATAGCTAACACAAAACAGCAGTGAGCGACTGAAACTTAAATGAAATTAGCTTTTACATCAAAATGGCTCAGCATCAAAAAAGCAGCACGGCTGCTATGCTTAGCTCGTTTTTTTTTTCCAAAAAAAAATTTTTTTTGTGTTCTGTGCTGCTTATAACAATTCCACATCGCTTGCTTATAACAATTCCACATAATAATAAAAAAACGCGATTTAAACGCGATAAAGGAACGCGAACCGAAGAAGATCACCTTACACGGTGGCAATCAATTAATGACACAAGTACTAAGTTCCGAATTCTGGATTTTTGGCTAAAGTCGCTAATCAAACAAGCCATATGAAAATGCCGAATCTGCTTAATTCCCAAAAAAAAAAAAAAAAAAAAAAAAAAACAAACCCAAACTCAAATAATGGCTTCGCTACCGTCTGAACGTACTTTTCCTTCTCGACCCTTTACAAACACAGGGGTAGATTTTGCAGGACCCTTTAACATTAAAAGTTATTCAGGAGGAGCCTGCTTTATTACAAAAGGGTATGTGTACTTGTTTGTTTGTTTCGCCCCAAGGCTATACACTTAGAACCCACAAGCGATTTGTCGACATATGCGTTTCTTGTCGCGTTTTCTAGGTTTGTAAGTCGGCGCGATCGTCCGTCTTGTATATTTTCGGACAACGGAACAAACTTTGTGGGAGCGGTTGATCTACTTAAACGAAATAGAATAGCTTTCATGAAAAATATTTAAAATAGAACGATTCAAAACAACTTCACTCAACATCTTACTCCGAAATTCATTCCGCTTGGTGCTCATTTAGGTGAAAGAATCTTCACGAACTTCACAGAAGAACTAAGTGGAAATATGAATAAGAGAATGTCAAAAAAGGAGATTTTATCGTCGTAAAAGATTATAGGTTGGCTCCGCATGAATGGAAGTTAGGTCGCATTGAAAAAACTTATCTAGGAAGTGATCAAAATACCAGGGTTGTTGACATACCGACACCAAGTGGCAACATTAGCAGACCCATAACAAAAATTGTCAAATTGTTTTGCGACTGACTAGACGTATACAGATCCAACAAAAAATTTGTACTCGCATCTCGTTGTTTTTTCAGATATGGCTGCCTACTTGCCAACTCAAAACTGGAGAAAAGCCGAACGCAGACCCAGCCCTAGCACTGCCACTCGCCGAACAGTATACAGCTCAAACAGGCCAACGCGCCGAGACGAAATGACGCCCACTTCCACCGACAGAAGACAAAGAAGCCGATCAAGTACCCGAACCAATCCCCGCTTTGAGCGACCATGTTTCTGAAAGTTCTCGTTTGGATTATGTAAAGAGGACCATGCCTTAAGTTCTTGCAACAGACTCTCTTTCAATAATACGAAACGTTTGAGCGGAGGGGCTACTGCTGAAATTGTCTCACTCGTAGTCATTTGGCTCCCGACTGTTCCTCCCTAGCCGGCTGCCGACGATGCAACATTCGGCATCATACTTTGACTTGAGTTATGCAGGGCAGTATTACTATCAAAATTAGCAAAATCAAATGTAACTAGCCGATTCTACAATCGTGTTAGCATGGTTAAATAACCTCCTTGTCATTGGAGCACATTTGTTGGAAATAGAGATAGATTGCCGATAATGTTGGTCAAGAAAAATGGAGACATATTGATTCGGAAAATAATCCAGCTGATATTGCGAGCCGTGGATGTTCGCCTGCAGAGCTAAAGATTAGTGATCTCTGGTGGCCTCAATGGCTCAGAATGCCATTGACAAATTCAACTTGTTTTTAGGGTTTTCTGAGATAAATCTGATCCAGGGTCAATAATTGCTCTACACTCCGTAAACTTTATAAATGCCAATTCTTCTTGATATTTAAGTATAAAATTTATTTTCATGTTTTTCTGTTTTTAAGGTTTGTTTTAAAATTTTGTTCAGTTTAAGAATGAGTTCAATTTTTATTATTCTAAATTTTAAAAAAACCGCTAATTTTTGTTAAAAGTTTTCAACTTTTAGCCTTTCAGTCTTTTAATTTTGTTTAATATTTTTAAGGCTTACAATTATATTGAATGAAGTTTGGATTTTGTGTTGTTTGTTTATTTGTCTCAACAAAATAAAAAACCATTTGAATGAACTTTTCAAAAAGTAATCCATCACCAAGAACTTTATTGTTTTCCTTTGCTGGTTACTGGGAGCCACATATTTAACCTTCGTCGCATGTCAAGTAAAAAAGGAAAGATTTTCCTGCCAATTTTCGTCAGGAAATTGTGATTGCCATTTTAATGTCATCATTTTTATACCCTCCACCTTGGAAAGGAGGGTATATTAACTTTGTCATTCCGTTTGTAACATCCTTAAATATTCGTCTTAGACCCCATAAAGTATATATATTCATAATCAGCATAAAATTCGATTAACGATGTCCGTCTGTCTGTCTGTCTGTCTGTTGAAATCACGATACAGCCCACATTATTTGACGTAGAGGGCCAAAATTTAGCAGAGCTATTTGCATTGTGTCTAGGATCTTTGGTATTGAAAATATATCGGTCCACGTTCTGGTATAGTCCCCATATAACGGTACCTTCCGTTATTCGGTATTTTGATGACTTATGCCACATTTTTTCACGGATTTGTCTGAAAATTGGTATTTGTAGGTCATAACGGGTCCCTGAGCGTGTGGCAAAACATTGCATGTATAGGTCCACGTTGTGGTATAGCCCCCATATAAAGGTACCTCCCGATATTCGGTATTTTATTTTTTTTTGCCACATTTTTTCACGGATTTGTCTAAAAATTGGTATATGTGGGTCATAATGGTTTCCAGCTCCGGTGGCGAAACATTGCATGTATGGGCCCATGATTTGGTATAACCCTCATATAACGGTACTTCCCGATATTCGGTATTTTGATGGTTTTTGCCACATTTGTTCACTGATTTGTCTAAAAATTGGTATTTGTGGGTCATAATGGGTTCCAGCTCCGGTGGCGAAATATTGCATGCATGGGTCCATGATTTGATATAGCCCCCATATAACGGTACCTCCCGATATTCGGAATTTTAATGGTTTTTGCCACATTTCTTCTAATGTTTCTTTTACCCTAAGGTGGAGGGTATTAAAAGTTTGACCCGGCCGAACTTAATGTTTTTTTACTTGTTCTGTTTTATTTCCCCCCTTCTTATCACTTAGGCAACTGGAAAACTCAGCTGGTTTACGTACAACTGTTGGCAACAATCTTCTTCTTATTGTTGCCATTTTTTAAATGGTTAACCCTTTAAGAGGCGTACACCACAAGGATACAATGCTTGGCCTACTATCCGTGATCTATTCCGAGTTGAAAAGCTCTTTCATTTGACAGGAGAGTTAAGAGAGATAATTAGTAATGTTCCACTTACAAATGACGTTCTCCATTTGGCATTGGAGAATCTTACAGAGCGGTACGAAAATAGAAGGATGCAGGTCAACGCACATATAAAATTGCTGTTTTATTTACCCAATGTAATATTTGATTCAAGTAGCAAAATTCAAAAAATTCAACTTACAATAAATAGTAGAATTCAGACTCTAGAGACTCTTGGTGTAAAAAATCTAAATTTGCTAACAATTTTCAATCCAATACATGGTCTAATTCCCAATCACAAGCGGTTTCAATAAATAAACAAACTTCGAATCAACAGCCAAAGACTCAACATTAACAAAAATTTCCTCTTTGTGCAGCAAATCACTTTATCAGAGGTTGTCCTCAATTCGTAGGAAAGTCATTTAATGACATAATTCATATAGTAAAGATTTCACACCTATGTTATAATTGTCTTTCGTCGTATCATGGCGTAAAAGAATGCAAAAGTCGGTTTGGTTGTCGATCTCCCAATATGAGACACCATTCCATGCTACATATGGTAACGGAAACCCAAAATATAGCTGGAGATGGCGTACGTTCTAGTACCAGTGCTTCAGCTCTCACCACAACAATACAGTCCACATAACCAGCAATTATTATAGCCCTGACCCTTCAAGAGCAAACCATTTTCGAATATAAGAATATATAAAACAGAGGACACTCATTTGACGCCAGAGCAATTATTGACCCTAGATCAAAATCTACATTTATCTCAGAAAACCCTAAAAACAAGTTGAATTTGTCAACCAAAAACCATGTTTATGTTACGAGAATTAGCCAAATTGTCACGTAAACTTCTACAAAATCTTGCATTTTGACTCTTCGTCCTCGTTTAGATCCTAGTATTGAGTTAGACGTATGAGCGCCAGTTTTGAAGACCCTTCCATTTAATTTACCTCACAAAATATCGAAAAGAGTAAACTTACAAATATGATTGGCATTAACTTAGCAACATGCTAACATCAAACAGGATCGCTTGGCTACTAAACTTAGAGTAGTATCTAATGCCTACTGCCCTACTTCAAATTAAAAAAGTATTAACGATAATCTTTTCGCCAATACTCCAACTGTATCTCGTTCTGAAAATATTGAATTGGAGATTCTTCAAATATGTTTAAAATGCACATGTTACCCAAGTATATGTTTAAAATGCAGATGTTACCTAAGTGTACCGACACATTACATTGGATAGAAGTCATATACGATTACAAAGAATTCTGTTTAGAAGATCTCTTACAGACCCAGTGGAAGATTATTAACTTTTAACAGTCACATTCGGAGTGAACTTCGCACTTTCTAGCACTTCGTACTCTCCTGCAATTACCAAAATACGTCAAAGGAACATATCCCAGATCATCGGAAATCATATTACAAAATTTATATGTAGATGACGTCAAAGCGTTAAAATCACGCAGAGAACTAATTGCAGGTTTCGAATCTGCGGATAGATGGATAAAATACGTTCCAACGAAACAGATAGAAATTCATGGATTTCTGACACCTCAGAAAGTTCATACGGCGTAGCAAATACCGCTGATGTAGCAGGTCGACTTAAAGCAACATAATTTGTGGTGGCAAGGACCACAGTGGATGAAATATCCAAAAACAATTTAGCCATCGAATAATAAATCCATATATTGATTTCAATGGCATTATTATTGTTAGAAAATGAAAGACACCCAATATTGTTACCATATACATATATATAGATATAAAGTTACGACTATTGATAGAGTTGACACAAAAAATAACATTGCACGAAGGAAATCAACTCAATCTCGAATTTTATGTTCTGAATATTGGATATTCAAGTTAAAAGTCTTAGTAAGAAAACTATTCATAACTGCAAAGTATGCACACTGTATCGAAAACGTAATCAAAACATGGCTTCTCTTCTGTTTGAAAGAACTTCCCTTACAAGACCTTTCTACAACATTGGGGATCTTTCCACTGAATCTTTTATAGCCGCTTTCATTCGCTTCATAGTTCAAAAAGGATGTCCCTTCTGTGAATATTCCCGAAAAAAAGATGGAACAATATTTATGAAATAACTTAGATCGAAAGCCATAATACAAAACTATCATCAAATTTTAATATGGAAATTGATACCTCCAGGAGCTCCTCACATGGGCGGATTGTGGGAAACAGGAGTTAAGTCCTTTAAAATACATCTTCATCTTTCGAAAGATTTAATACGATACTAATTCGCATAGATTCTTGTCTCAGTTCAGGACCTTTAAGTCCGGCAAGTGACGATCCTAATGAAATAGCTCCATTAACTCCACCGGATTTCCTAATTGTGTCGCCTCTGCTAGAACCAGCAGAACCTGATATATCCGACTGAGATATTCCATGGAAAATGGATGGAAAACTGATTACTTGAATGAACTCAAATAAAGACACAAAGATAACATTTAAGAAGGTGCCTCGTGGTTCTGAAAGACGAATGCGAATCAAGAACTTAATGGAGATTGGGACGCATTGTCTGAACGTTCAAAGGGGTTGGCCTAAATATCAGTGTTGAAGACATCAAAACTAATAGCGGTGTAACTAGTCGACCCATAACCAAAGTTGCCCAACTTTTTACCGACTGACTAGTCGGACCCATTTTAATTAATAAACATGGTACTGACTTTTCCTCACTTACGGATATAGCAGCTTACCTTCCCAATCGCAACTGGGAAGATGACGAGGAAGAGAGACTCACTAACCGACGTCTGCAACGGCAACAACAGTAAGAACACACTGTCCTGGTGCATGAAAGGAACAATGTCAAGAATTGCCTATTAAGAATTTCAACGACTAGGACATTAGTCATTCATCTACCAAAGAAAACGATTTTAAACCTTTAAAATAATGAAAATGCATACAAACGGCACTTGGGCAATAAAGGTGAACATCATCATCACCGATTATTTGTCACGCAGACCCTACTTCGACCCACTTCTCAAATGTTTCAAAAGTGCGTTATATTTTCAATCAAAAATGTATGTGCTATTTATTAAATACTGTAGAATTTATATGTAAGCATTACAATTTGTCATTTCTCTTTGTGCTTGTAGGCGAAGACAGGCTGTCTGTGGCGTTGCAAATCATTTTTAATTATTCGAAGTTTTGTTATGAAGTCGATAGGCACAACATCCCCCGTCGTGACCGTCAACAGTTAAAAATGCTACAAATGTTAGAATAAGTGGCAAATAAATTATCAAGATAAAATGCACAGCTTTGAAAACTATAACTTAATATAAATTACAAATTGTACTATTACTTACCTTAGTAAATTATAATACTTACCTTTTCTAAAAAGTTGTTAATAAACCTGAAGAAAAAAATTAAAACAATTCATTTTGTCGAAAAAAAACTAAAAAACATAAGTGTGAGTGGAAAACAGTTACTTTTACCACTTCCGCTCTCCTGCTCACCTAACGCCATAGCCTCACTTCCAACAACACTGCTTTCACAAGCGTTTTGCACATTTTCACCTTCAATCTCCACATTCTTCATTCTAGGTTTCCTTCCTACTCACTGTCTAACCGACACAAAATGAGGGAATCCGGCATCATTGTGCTATCCTTTTCGGTCATTACTTATGGCCACAAACATATATACGCCCCTTTCTGAGGTGTCAGAAATCCATGTATGAAGTTAAAAAAAATAATAACATTTTTGAGCTACAAATTAAAAGCTCCTCAGCACAAATGTGCTTAAAAATTAAAAGCAAACATAAATACTAATAACTTATTGTAAAATTGTTTAATTATTCGCCACAATAAATAACGAATGCACAAGAAATAAGTTTTCGATCAGCTGTGTGACGGATAGTGTATTCAGAATATTGCTGCTAACTAAATCCAATAAAAGCAATATACAAGATTTAGGAATAAATTAATATTTATTTGAACACTTATTTTTCAATATTAATAAAATTTAATCATAATTCTTATTATATATTGTTATGTAAGCATGAAATTATTGATGGATTATTATTGTTATTTATAGTGTAATCGCAACCATTGGCATCGTTTTAATTAGTAGAAAATAATAAGCTTTTAGACTAAAAATAAAACATAGAAAATTGTATGTTAATAACATAATGAAGTTCACATAAAAAGTGCTTTATCATCGCGTTTTCTGTAATGTTATTTGTACGTTCTCGGGAGTAGGCCAAATAAGTGGACTGTATATTTACTCGAGAATTGCGGTTGTAACTCCGTTGAAAGTAAATCTTTGTTTTTGGTTAGAATGAAAGACGGTATGCTTTTGTATTAGAATGTTTTAAATGAACAGCTAAGGTTTTATTCGTTCTTATTTCAGTTACTGTTGAAAACCAAGTGAGTTCAAAATGGCTATGCATATTTCTCTCGCAGACATTTTCTTCATAAAGATGTAGGAACAATTGGTATTAAAAAACCTTTCCTCCGTTGAGTGGAAACTCAATGGATTTAAGGTTGCCATATTTGTAAGTTAATATCAGTTAATAAATTCAAATGTAAATTATGAAATAAGAAAAATTCAGTTTGTAGGTAATTCATTATGTTCTTAACTCTAAGTTGTTGAACGCGGTTCAACATGCCGCCCCCTTAAAATTGACAGCTTCCGGATATAATCCAACCGAAGGCTGAACTTTGCGCAATGGGCATGTTTGAAGCGGTTTGAATTAGTCCAGCACGTAAAATTTTGGGAATTTGGTCGTTGGCCAGTAATATTTCAATGTTGACCGGGTTAAAAAAATGCGGATCTGCCAGATCCGTAAGATGGTTGTAAATAGACTGAAGCCTTTTTTCTTTGGTTGTTTCTGGAGTAGACATATTCAGTTGTTTTTGTACTTCGCCAGTGATGTGAATCTTGACGGATGGATCGTGGAACGATTGTAGGTTTATGGCTGTAAACGTTTTTCCAGCTCTTTGGGTGAGTGGCAAGTCCAATCTCTCTACCAGCTTGATGGATATCATCGTTTGTGCGGAGCCAGAGTGTAACATTAGGCGTACCTTGTCGCAACCCTCAACTGTAACAACCTTTGCCAGCGCAGTAGGAAGGAAAACGTGAGATTTTGAGCGAGAACTTAATCGATCGCTAACGTTGGAACAGTGACGTTGAGTTGAAGAAGCTTGTTTGGATGTTGTTGTTGGTGACTTCTTTTCGCGTTTGTTAGGGCGACTCTGACGGCTCTTGTATGGTTTCGGTTCTGGACTGGGACTGAGTGACTTGGAACGTTCTCTTTGGGTAGTTTTGGAGGACTGCTGATTAGATTTAGCATCCATATGTAGCATAGTGTGATGTGCCTTGTGACATACCATGCACGTTTTTCGACTAGGTCACCATTCACGGGTATGAGCTGTACACAAACAGTTGAAGCAAAAGCCTTTGTCTTTTGCTTCGGTGCGACGTTTTGATACAGGCATTTTTTGGAAGGTGGGGCATGATTTTATGAAATGCCTATCTCGGCAGATACGACATTTTGGAACACTAGAAGCGGTACTGAAATGTAAATTGTTATTAGGTAAGTGAGCATAGAGTTGAAAGCTAACAGTTAGGTAGAATGCAAAGTTTAACAACAGGGCGTATAATGATTCCATTTTGCGTGCGGATTTCCGCAACGCGAACTTTGAAATCTTTACCCGTAAACACCTTAACAACGCGTCCAAGCCGCCATTCAGTAGGAGGTAGATTATCCTCTTTTATAACGACGAAATCATCAGGTTTTAAATCTCGTTGAGTTTTCTTCCATTTGTATCTACGTTGAAGCTCTGTAATATATTCATTTTTCCAGCGTTGGGCAAAGTGTAGTTGAAGAGTCTTTAGTCTTTGCCATCTATTCATCAACGACAGGTTGTCTGAGAATTGTTCTGGTATAGCCATAAGAGGAGCACCTCGCAACAAATGACCTGGAGTTAATGGCACTAACTCAGATGGATCTTCGTTTATCGGGGACAATGGTCTGGAATTCAGTATGCTTTCGATTCTTACTAAGAGTGTAGAAAACTCTTCGTAAGTGTATTTTAAATGTCCTGCAACTTTTCGGAGATGAGTTTTCATACTTTTTACCGCCGCTTCCCAGATGCCACCCATATGTGGTGTTTGGGGCGGGATAAAGTGCCAAGAGAAACCATGTATATTATATTTTTCCACCAGATGTTGTTCAGCGGATTGTAGGAATTGAGTATATTCTTCAGCAAGTAAGCGGTTGGCTCCAACAAAGTTGGTTCCATTATCAGAAAACATTTTATTCGGGAAGCCTCTTCGTCCAACAAATCGGCTAAAAGTAGCTATGAATGCTTCTGCTGTTAATTCTGAACATACTTCCAAATGTATGGCACGAGTTGACATACATACGAATATAGCGGCATAACCCTTTTGTATTTTTGCGTTGCGAAGCCGAGAAGTTTTGAGTTCAAAAGGACCCGCGAAGTCAAGTCCTGTATTGGTAAAAGGTAATGAAAATGTACAGCGTTCTGGGGGTAAAGCACCCATGATTTGATTTTGAAATCGGTGTTTATAAATGGCACATCTGTTACAATTGCGGATGCATTGACGTACAATACTCTTCAATCGTATCACAAAGAACTCCTGACGGATTGTTCGTAACATAGCCTGATGTTCTGCATGTAATAGTAATTCGTGAGTGTAGTCTACGAATAGTTTACAAAATCTTGATTTCTCAGGTAAAATGATTGGACTCCGTTCGTTATAACTTAGGTCAGCATTTGCAAGGCGACCATCTGCTCGTAGTAATTTATTCTCATCGAGGACTGGATTCAAAGTCAACAATCTACTCTTAGTGGGTATAGGCTGATTCGTTTCGAGAGCTTTGTATTCCCACGGAAAATAAGTTATTTGTGCCAATCGAATCAGATAGTATTTTACAAAAGAAATCTCTTCAGCCGTTATGACATTCTTATGCAGGTTAGGCGACAACATTTTTCTGCATCCATGTATGAATCGAAATATGTAGGAACAGACTCGTAAAGCTCGCTTTAAAGAAGAAAATCTCCCCAATAAATCGTCTCCTGCTACCTGAGCATGAAGCGCAATAACTTTTCTTTCAAGCTGTGGTTCTTTGAGGGTGACCTGATTTGGCCAATGAACTTCATCTTTATTTAACCAATTTGGTCCATTCCACCACAGAGAATTGGACTGTAATTCCTCAGCAGTGCAGCCACGAGTGCCAAGATCTGCAGGATTATCTACAGAAGAAACATGTCTCCAATTTACATTACCAATATTGTCAAGAATCTCAGAAACCTTATTTGCAACAAACGTTTTCCAATGGAAAGGCGGTTTACTGATCCAAGCTAGAGTTATAGTGGAATCAGTCCATAAATATATTTCCGACGTTGAGAGCTCCAAGTTTTGGCAAACAGATCTTACAAGCTTAGAAAGCATTGCTGCACCACATAATTCTAATCTGGGCAGGCTAACAGTTTTTAATGGAGCTACTTTACTTTTAGACACAAGTAAATTGATATATGTAATATTGTGAGAGGAAGTTGAACGTATATACAAGCAGGCACTGTAAGCTTTCTCTGAAGCATCGCAGAAGCCGTGAATTTGTATTTTATTGTCAGGAGCAAAACGTACCTAGCGAGGTATTTTGATTTTCTGTATGTTAGAAAAATTCAAAATGAAAAATTTCCATCTTTCGAAGGAATGTTGTTTGACTTCTTCGTCCCAATTCGTACCATCAATCCACAATTGTTGCATCAAAAGTTTGGCGACAACAATAATTGGGGTTAGCCATCCAGCTGGGTCAAACAACTTGGCAACAATGGATAAAATTTTTCGCTTTGTAACAGATTCGGTTGGTAAATCGATGTGTGTCACATTGTAGAAGAAGTAATCGGAAATGGCATTCCACTGAATGCCCAGAGTTTTGGTTTCACTAACATCATCGATTTTTAAAAAGTCTTCGCTAAGAAGATCATCTGGTTGAATGTTTTTAATAATTTGCGGGTGATTCGAGGTAATCTTTTTTAGTGGAAATCCTGCGGAACTTAACAAATCAATCATCTCGTGAAGGTATGATGTTGCCTCGACTAAAGAATGGGCTCCAGATAATATGTCGTCAACATAAATTTGATTCCTCAGAATAGAAGATGCGGATGGGTGTGATTCTCTGCTGTCATCACTTAATTGAAGCAATGTTCGAATTGCCAAATATGGTGCACAATTTACCCCGAAGGTAACGGTTTGTAAACAAAAATCTTGAACTTTCTCCACTGGAGAAGTTCGAAACAGAATTCGCTGGTATTGCTGATCATCTTCATGAACGAAAATTTGGCGGTACATTTTTTGAATGTCGCCATTGAAAACATATTTATATAATCTCCAACGTAAAACAACATTCATTAACTCATTTTGTAAAGTTGGACCAGTGTAGAGCATGTCATTTAATGAAAAACCACTGTCAGTTCTTTTTGAGGCATTAAAGACAACTCTTATTTTCGTGGAGGTTCGCTCAGGCTTCACTACTGCATGGTGTGGCAAGTAAAATGAAAGGAATTTTGAATTGTCAACGATTTCGAAACTGTTGGTTGGTCTCATGTGACCTAAGGAAATGTACTCGGAAAGAACTTTGTTGTATTCCGAAGCAAGGTTAGGATCCTTATCAAGTGTCTTTTCCATCCTCAGAAATTGGCCCATTGCAGCACGTCTAGAAGACCCAAGGTACTGGGTAGATGGCAGATTCTGTTTAAAAGGTAAACGAACAACATATTTGCCATCATTTCTTCGATAAACAGTATCTTTGTAAAACTCTTCGCACCAAAGATCAGATTCGGAAAGACAGTTTTCGTTTGAAACATTCTCAATTTCCCAGAATTTTCTTAACTCTTCAT